TTTTCTCATTGAAATTTTCTCATGGACATGACAGCGGACACACCGCTTCAAAAAACCTATAGCGGACACACCGGAAAAAAACACAAGCGTCGACACCGCTCAACCCGTAGCAGGAACAAGGCTTTAAGCGGGCGCACCGCTGACAACAAGAAGCACGCACACAGCAGCGGTCACACCGTTTACAGTCCCAAAACAAAAGTATTTGCCAACCTTTTCCTTTCCTTCATTGCTTCACCGGTCGACTTTGCACACGGCTCTACATACGAGCACTGGGTCGTTTCATCGCTGTCTTCCTCGTTGCAGTCGGCTTCTTCTTGCCACTAGGCTTCTTCAACGGCGGCGACTCTGCGATTCGCTCGGAACCCGGCACCACTTCCTCTCCGATCCTCAGCTGGGTGATTTGACATTCATGGTCACCAGTTGAAAGCCAACAAATGCCTAGTTAAGCAGCGGACACACCGGTATCAAGAGCGGACACACCGCTGGAACAAAACAATGAACACGCCACCCAGAATCGAGATCTTGCGCGGCTGCACATGGCTGCTAGCAAAGACATTCTGCAGACGGCGTTTCCGGGCTTCGTGTCCATGAAGCGACTCAGCGCCAACACGGATCCCCACCTGGCAAAAACCCAATGCCAGATCGGGGCTCTCCGGAGAGGACTCGCAATGCTGGATGAAAGCGTCCATCACCTGCATCGCAGAAGCAAGACAATTATATTGTCAACATCCCCACGTTTTTCAAACCGATTTTCCTTATAACGCCAGCCCGCCTTTCCAAACTCAGCGAACTGACCATATGATCCTGGCACGGAGCAAATTTGCTTCTCCTCGTCAAAAGCATTGTACACCTGCACCTCCTTGGCTGCCCTGTCCCACTTCATCAAAAACATTTTCATGCCCTGCGGTTCCCCACATGGTCGAACCAGCAGGTGGTGCCCCTCGCGGCTCACATACCTGGCGCCAGCTTGTATAGCAGCCAGCGCGCGAAAATCTCTTCTATCTATTTGGATAGATATTGATATTTATAGATAGATGGATTTGTATTTAGCAATCTATATGTCTACGTACATCAACCTTTCTTTGCTACAGCCTTTTAAATCTCTACTCCATGGGTCTTGCTCCGGCAAAAAGTAACACTGGGACCCATGAAATTAACCAAATAGTAGAATGGCAGGGTACAGTTCCCAAGAAGGCCGGAATTCCAAGACCTCATGCGCTCGCTGCTTGTAGGGGACGCTTCTATACCCATCTCCCATGTAGATGACACCATCGCGACGCCGATGTCGTTTCTGCTGGTACTCAGGCAGCGGGCGAAACTCTCTGTTCTGCTCCCAATTATCCCAAAGATCTTGGGAAGTCAAAGCAGTAAGGGAAGACCAGCCGATGTAGGCGTACTCAAAAACAGGCGGCATGATGCCACAGGGCTGGAAAGGAAAACACCTGCAGCGTATAGGCGATAGACCATATATCAGGAGAGGATAGCGGACACACCGCTTATGAACAAGCAGCGGACACACCGCTCATAAACTAGCAGCGGACACACCGCTCATGAACAAGCACTGGTCACATGCACCGCAAGCTGCGACAGTGTGACAGCCAGCCACAGAGTTTTTTCCTTCCACCGTGGTGAGGCCACGACAGTTGCATTGTGAGATGCAGACCTGCCTCGCGCAGTCACGCTTTCCCAAAAACGGATTGGACGGCTTTCTGTCCAGCAGCTTTGGCGACCTCCTTGGCCCTGTTAGGGCTCATGTTCTGGCCTTTGGCAATACCTGAGTGAGCGTATCAAGCCAAAAAACAAAAGCTTGACGTATATAAGATATAGCAATGCGAGGCACCACATATACACAAGCGGCGAAAGACCCCTGAAGTACAAGCGGGAAAAAGAATGTGATCCGAGGTACGGTGCGCAGCATGATACGCACGACTGTAGACGCATTCCCTCGTCATTTTCGGTACAACCTTTGAGGCTGGTCTCTTCAATGTGGAACGCTTCGACGAAGCAACCTTCTGAGAGCCTTGCTTGGGAGAGGAAGAGGACTTTGTCTTTCCCTTGCTGGTGCTGGAGTTCTTCGGAGCAACCTGTGGTTTGAGCGACCCAGCATCAGAAGCTGGCCTCTTCATGCAAGGCTTAGCTTTTGCCTTGATGAGTCTTCCCTCCTGCTTTGAAGCATCTCGCTTTATCAAAGCGTGTTGAAGCTTTTCTTCCGGGCTCACTGCAGGAGGTGGCTCGGCATCAATGGTAAGCTTGGCATCATTGGCAAGCTCAGCTCCATCACCATTCAGAGACAAATCGTTCTCCTCCACACAAGGATGCACCTCCGGGGCAAGTTGGTCCTCCACGCAAGGACGCCCCTGGACATCACGCCGACAGTCCTGCAGAATTAGGGCGCAGTTCCTATGCGTTCGACGTAGATTTACAAATTTCGGGGGTATGATCAGATATAGTCTCTGTAAACCTAAATACCAGCCACTCTGCTTGCCCCCAGCATAGACGCAAAGAGATATATACATATACACCCGTACTATATATATATAAATATATACATATATATATGTATATATATATATATTCAGAAGAATTAGACAGACACATACATTTGTATAAGCGCACATATCAATACATGCGCAGCAAAACATCACAAGAAAACCTTCAAACATGGAAGGCTCCTCCAACGGCAACGGTGAGGGCGCCGGTGTCTCTGACCTTCTGGGAAAGGCAGGCTGGGACAGTTCGCCACTATCCTGACGATGGTAAGCAGAAGAACTCTGCCCAAGCCTGAAGGCTAATTCGACGAGCTGTAGGTCACTGCCACCACTGGACGCACTGGACGGCTTCTCATCGCTCTTCTTGGACCAACGTAATTTCGTAGCCCCAACGGCCATCAACAATTCATCCACAGGTATACCTCAGGCAAATCCACAACTCCAAAAAGAACAGTTCAGACACAACACAATGGAAACCAAACGCCAAAAGTATGTGATCGTATGCATTGTCAACTGTACAGCGGGGACACCGCTCTTGATTATACCAAACGAATTTTCACTATTTCACTAAACCAGGCACGGCATGGCGCCAGCTCGTGCTCAGAAAATGCTACCAAATAATATCCGGCAGGAAGGTCTTTTGTATCTCTAGGCAAAGTCTCCACGTACTCATGGTATTGGTGATCCTGCTGCTTCATAGTCGACTTGTATTTCTTCCACTGACACTTGAGGGTGGCCACAGCTTGGTAGCGCTCAAACGCTGACGTGGGTTGCTTCCTCTCCCTGGCTAGCTCCATCAGGTTGTGCAAAGTGCTAAAGGTTTGCTCCGAAGGGCACCGGAGACCAAGCTGCCAAGCGTGTTGTAGCAAAGCCCCCACAGCTCGTTCACGGGTCCCAGTCGTCAAAACATCCCAGATGGGATCCGTGAGGTAATGGGGCAAGTGCTCATAGCTCTGAAGTTTTCTTCTATCAGACATTGCTGCCAAGACTCTGGCCCACTTGAAAGCCAAACTGAAAGGCAAACGTTGCGCGTGAACAACTTCACGGAACCCTGTTACTTACAGCGGTCACACCGCTTTAGCGCCACAAAAAGGCTCACCAACGTCTCACACAGTTACAGCTACAGCGGCCACACCGCTTGTATAGAGCTTACATGCAACAGACAGCGCTCACAAAGCTTATAAAGACACAACCTCCCAACCCAATCGCAGCCCGCTGATTTTTAAGACCTCCTTCTCTTAAATTCATCTTGTCTGCATCCCCCTCGCTGGCGCCAGACTCCGAACAGGCGCCACTGCCTTTGTCGGCTCGACTCCCACGGAACGTCCTCATATCTTCCCGTCGCAGGGTTGCTGTTCGCCTTGGGTTCAGCTGCCGGAACTCCAGCAGCTTTAACTCGAGCTGCAGACACGGTAGGCATAGAGGGCAGCACGCTCTGGGCAGCAGGAGGATCACTGCCAGATGGTATTGCAGGAGTAGGAGGCACCGACCTGTCCACCAGCGATGCCCCACTTGGAAGTCCTCGGTCACTGACAAGGGGTGTTCCTGATGGCGCAGGGCCAGCCGCCATTGGAGTTGCAGTCGCTGGGGTTGCCCTGAACGCTGCAGCCGTTGACGTGGACCTGGCAGGGACTGAGCCAGAGTTTTCAGCCCTGCTACCTCTCCTCATTGAAGCCCACGGGGCGTCCGAGACCACGCCTGCACAGCAAAGGCAGCACATGAAGACAAGCCGACCCATATTTACATTGCGGACATCCTGCAAAAATGTGCGGACATACCGCAAACAAAAACCGGCCTCCATGCTTCGGAGTAACCCTGTCTGCTGCAGCTTGACTATGTTTGGAAGGTGTACTGACCTTACCGCAGGGCGGGGGCAACCGCCTCTTGGGTCTCGGTTTGGCTTCATCGGCGGCTGCAGCCGTCGACTCCGTCGGCTCCATTGGGTTCTCAGGAACCATGGCGGACTGCGGCGGAAGCTCCGCCAGCCGGCGAAACAAGTCCGACATTATAGGCCAAAACAAATCCGGTTCTAGACCTGCTGCGTTTGTTCTCGACATCCTGTTGCAACCATGCGTGTGCTGAATTATAACAACCAGTCTGTATACAGATACATTGTTCTGCACGCATGACTGCTTCCGTACGCCAGAGAAACCAATGCAGCAGATACAGGACGCACCGCTGACATGTTACAAAGCGGACACACCGCTAGCAAGACCATGACAACCGAAGAACCTCTACATGGCAAATGCCGACAAAATTGCAAGAACACCAGTAGATTTAGACAAATATACGTTTTGCACAAGATACATGAGCTAGCAAAAACTTAAAAAATGATACCCGAAAGACGGATGGTTAAAAAAAAACTTTAAAAACATAAATTTGTCATAAGTAGGTTAAATAGAAATAAGTAGACCCTAAGTAGCTACAAGTACACTTAGCCTACTTACAATGATTTTTGTGAAGCTACTTATGTTCTACTTAGCAAGTAGGTCAGCTGACTTGTAAGTAACTTAAAGTTAATTATAAGTAGCTTAAGGGAAAAATAGATTTATGCTACTTATCACTACTTATAACAATACTTAACCTTGTTAAAACCATATTATAAGTAGGTTATAACTAGACAACAAGACACGGACCATCAAGCAACCCCGAGAGTCTTCACTTGAAAAACAATATCAATAATTGAGAAAAATCAATATTTCCAGAAACCAAACGAAACAAACATATTGAAATTAAATCAATAAACGCGCAAAAGAATTTCAATATTTTTGCTCTTAAAGATCAATATTTTTGTAATGTGTCAGTTGACGAGCGCAGCTGTCAAAAGGTGTCGTTATCAACACAATAAAACATGTGCTCCCATATCATCTACCTTCTCCAGTCGACCTCAACTTTGCAAAGGCCCTTTGCAGGTCCTTCTTCTGAACAATGAGAAGTCACCAACCAACATTCTGCTAAAGGACCTTTGCAGGTGCTTGGTTCAAACACTGTCATCAACACAAAAACCACATTCTGCAAAAGGCCCTTTGCAGGTCCTCAGCTGAAACAAGCACAGCTCCTTTTTACATTCTCTTTAAGAGAGCTGCAAGAACTGGAGGTGTTTACCGATCTGGTATTTTCTGCACACTGTTTTGGGGACTTGGTATGCTTGAAGGCCAGAGAGGTAAGCTGATGCTAACCGAGCTGCATTGCCAGCAAGGTGTTCTCCAGGGTATGCCCAAACAACCACGGCCATCCTCTCAAACCTGGAAAGGAAATGCATTTTTTGCAGTTGCCCCCACTGAAACGGTCCAAGCCTGCAATTCTGCAACCTGAAGCTCCAATCACTCAGCTTGTAGTACTGGGGAAACCTGTTTGCAGATCTGGTGTAGTCAGCAAACTCCTGATCAGAAAAGAACATGCCAGCATCTTCATAAAACACATTGGCGACACATGCTGAAGAGAACCCCAAGTCAGCGCAATGCATGAAGTCATATGCGAAAGCAAAATGGCTTACTCCACTTAGATTCCTGGGGTTCCTCCTTGCTGTATGGCTTGCCCCTCCAAGCTGCGTTTGGGTTAACATCACTCCAAGGCACATCAGATCTGTTGCATTTGCAGCGCATACAGGGCTCATTGGAATTGTATTTTGGGAGGCCATACTCAACAGAATTGTGCAGTCTGCTGGGGCAGCCCACACAAGACATGTCATTTTTCTTGCAAATAGGCTTCCCTGCAAGTTCCAGCCTGTGACCTGCAACGCATTTCCCCAAGGGTCACAGCTTGGATGATTGCCTTCAAAACAAGCCAGGAAAGACCAGGAAAACACCTTTCCCAGTGTAACCATGGTGGGCTCCACACAGTCTATAAGTTCAGTTCTCTGCGTCTGTTCCTTGTGACAAGGCAGCTAGCGAGCACTGCTGTCAATAAGAAACTGCTCTGTTCAACGCCAAGCTTCCCTTCCCTGCCTGTGCAATGAGACTGTAGAAGGTGATTGCGTGTAAGCTGTCCTGGCTGTCCTGTTTTGAGTGAGGGCCTTTGTCTGCGTGAACAGCGAATGGCACTTACAGCACTAGTTTTAAGTTCTCTTGGGCATGATTTGCAGTTGGTTCTAATATGATTCTTCAAGAACATCTTCCATTGAAAGTGGCACCACAGTTAAACACCTTAAGGCAAGGGCCCTCTGCAGGTCCCTTAAGAATTTTGAATTGAAAAAAACAGCAGGGCACTTAGCAGGTCCCTCCGAAAGATTCAAACTGAAAAACACAGGGCCCTTCGCAGGCCCCGTGTAAAGTTTTAGAAAAAGCATACAGCGCCTTTTTCACATTGGCCCCAGGCATGTTGTAACTTCAGGAAGGATTTCCTTCACACAACAGCAAACATAGAGTGACCCATGGCACTCAGCACACCAGCGCTTTCAATGCCCTTTTCCCAGTTGAGTGCTCTCATGGCTACTCCAGCTGGTGTTTTGGAGTCAATCTCTTTCACCGCCTTCAAAGAAGCTTTGATTTCCTTTTTCAATTCAGGTGCGCTCTTGGCCTGAAGCTGCTGCGAGTGTTTCGCCAGCTTTTTTGGCATTGCTTCACAGCATCAGGAGGCACAGAGGACTCATCAGCCAGTGCTGAGGCAGTCTCAAATGACTCCAATGCATTCTTTTCCTGAGAGCTTGCTTGGTGTTCTTGCCCTTGGCGTCCATAAAGGTCAATGCCAAGGCTCTGGCGCCCCTTCTGCTTCAGAGTCACTGTCACCTTCTATCTGGCCAGTGGCTTCCATCTCTGCAAGCTGCTTGAAATCATCCCAAGTGGATTTGGCATCCAACTTCCTTTGCTTCAGCTTGGTCTGTTCTGTCTTATGAACCTTCTCTTCACGCAATTCCAGGAACTCTGGGAACCTGGGGTCAGAAGGTGATTCGCGCACCTTCAGTTCTGCAGCGCCACACTTCTGCTTGACGGTTTCAAGTGGCACCCATATTTCTTTGGTGGAGCATTTGTTCCAGAAAGCTTCCAGTTCACCATCTTCAGCATCCTGAAGCTTTGACAAGGCCTCAGGTGTCGAGGCAACCTCATCGCCCCTGTCTTCTTTGGTATTTGCGCCAGGCTGAGTTGTTTCTGAAGCATCTTTAGCCTCTGCATGGCTGTCTTCTTTTTGGGGTTCCTCTGCTTCAGCTGCAGAAGCTTCTGGTCACTTCTTGAAATGCCTTAATTTCTTTTTGGCTGGTTCACTCTTAGGCTGTGCGCCAATGCCACAAAGTATCAAAGCGCGCAATGCCACAGATAAAAACAAACCAACGTACAATCCAAGATTGAATAGAACACAAAAAATATAAGTGTTCATGAGTGCACTTGTGAACACTCATGGGCTCAGAAGCGTTCATGAGTGCACTCATCACGAAAGCTAGCCTCAGCTAGCTGAAGTTGCTCTTGCTTTAGCAAGTTAAAAGATGGGGTGGACGCGCTTCAGAAATCTGAAATAATTGATTATGTACATCAATCTTATGGACTCTTCCCCCCTCCACAGGTTCAACTCCGCCTGCGCGCGGTGAGCAGGTGGGCATCTGCTGCTTCTTTTTTTGAGTTGGCCATGTAGAATAAAAGCCGGCGCGAAAGCGGTGCAAAATGATTGCAAAATTGAGAACTCGTGTTGATGAACCGAGTTGGAGGCAGCGCGTCGTGTCTAGCATGAACAACTTGGTTTGCTGCTGCTGCTGCTTATGGGTGCTTTGCTGCTGCTGCTGCTGCTTGGTGGTTTGCTGGTGCTGGTGGTCTGCTGCTGCTGCTGCTGCTGCTGCTGCTGCTGCTGGTCTGCTGCTGGTGGTCTGCCGCTGCTGCTGCTGGTCTGCTGGTGTTGGTCTGCTGTTCTGCTTGTAGTGCAAATGTAGTACAGGAAACCGCGAAACATGCTGGTGTAAACGCGGCGTGTCGCAGGTGAGCGGAATGATTGGTGGTATCACGTGATGATATGTTTGCTTCTAGTGTGTGGCGGACCTCGGGGCGAAATT